GCTCAATATCTGAGAGAGACGGGATAAGGTGTTTCATATATTGTTGGATGTGGGGTAATAATTACTCGTTGGTGATATTTTCAGGAATACCCCTAAATGTAATGTTATTGCATCTAGAACGCTCCTCCAGGTCTGCTAGTTTCAGATTGATTTGTTCGATGTCGACAGTGTGATCAGCATGTGCGTCGATCAAGTCGTTGTGAGCTATAACTATTTCCTCCATCTTTGTCTCAATATGGCGTAGTCTGAAGTCCTGTTTTTGAATCACAGTAGTAATTTGGGCAAGTGATGATGGCAGGTCGCTTGCAGTGTCTGCCTGAGTGAGAGAAGCATGTTTTTCATGGAGATTTCCAAGATAGGTTTGTCAGACACAGGGAACATCTCTATTATTGGAAAGTCAGTGGCATGTTGAGGGGATGGATGGATGGATGAGGGTCTGGTAAGCAGGTGTAGCGTCCATGTCCAGGCGTGGATGTGATTTAGCTGGGCTACTTGTTGTACGGGACGGGGGGGGGATGACTCACCAGGGTCCTCTGGATAGAGCGAGTACTGCAGTCTGGGATCCGTCTGCTGGTTCCTGTCAGCCTCCTCAGATCTGCCTGTAGTGTTAATGGAGCCGGCGCCATCTTGTGTCCCAGCCTGAATGGCGGGGAAGAAATGAGTCAGCTTCCCCGGCTGTCCCGGGGTTTTTCTGCATCGGGGCATAGCTGGGGATGGTTGTGCACCTCTGTCCTTGCCCTCTACTATGTTTATGTCCCTCGGGGCCGGTGTGAGCCGCTTAGGATCCAACGGATGGACGGAGCAGGCTTACTACACGTCCATGCAGGGCCGACCGCGCATGCGCCCCTTTGTTTTTTAATATTTATGATATGTGTCCTCGCTGAGCCCCGTCGTCTCATCATTTGTCAGCAATGCCCCTCCCCCATTGACCATTTAAGGCTCCTCAACTCCCCATACTAACAACTGGAGAAAGGATTATGCCTGTCCACTGCAGACTTTGCGCATGTTTAGAAACGCATCGCACAAGAGTGACATCACAGCTTGGAATATTGCTGTGCAGGGTGCATTCCAGCCTTTGTCTCGGACTGGTGGAGTTGCAGTCCACCTTCCTCAATTCACGCCAACTGCATCTTTTGGTCTCTACAATGTTTCCTCCATATTGGAACGGTGATCCTGTCACTATTTGTTTGAGCCTGTTGTTTTATCAACCATATGAGTTTCCTAATTTATTTTGATGTTAAAGTCTCTGAAAGTCTACACTTAGAAGCACTGTGTTTTTCTCTTTTTCTGACCAAAATGGGACCTAATTCAAGCGATTCAATTCTGTGCATGTGGGCACTACACTCTTTTGGAAGCTTTAATCAGTGAAAAAAATTATACTTTATTGTTGATTTCTAGAATAAAATTAGGTTGTTAGAGTCCTGTTCAAAATGTGACAGAGAAAGTGATTCAATATTGTGCACATGTGCTCCACAATATTTTCGTTGTTTTTTCAGTGAAGTAATTAACCTGTAATACTAAAGAAAATCTTACTGGTGTTGATTCTATTTCAATAAACATAGCATAAGTGATTTTATATTATTTGGGTAGTCACTAAATTTTGGAGTCTTAGTTTTGTAAGTTAATTAAACTCTAATGTTGATTTCTAGATTAAATTCTATACATGTTCAAAATGGAGAGTAGTATAAGTGATTGAATACTGTACACATAATCCCTACAATATTTAATTTTATAAGTAAATAAATAACACTCTAATGGTGATATCTTGATTGTTAAATGGCTGGTGGAGGTCTTATTCAAAATGAGGATTCAATAATGTTCACATAGGCACTGCTATTTTTTTTGCAAAATAAGTGCACTCTAATGCTGACGTTTTGGTAAAATCTGCATGGTGTGGGGCATTTTCAAAATCTGTCTAGTTCAAGAAATTCCGTACTGTGCATGAAGGCACTATATTATTTTTCATGGTATGTTCTGATAATTACACTCTAATGCTTATTTCTAGTTTAAAGTATGGTTGGTGTGGATTATGATCAAAATGGGACCTAATACAAGTGAATCTACAGTATACTGTGTACTTAGGCGCTACAATATTTTGGAGGCTTTTTTCAGTTTACACTAATGTTAATTTTTAGATTAAAATGTGAGTGGTTAGAGTCCAGGTCGAAATGGGGCCCACTATAAGTGATCCAATATTGTGCACATAGGCGCTACAGTATTTTGGTTGTTTTTCAGTGAAATATTTAATCTGTATTACGATTAAAGGTCCTGTTTAAATAGGGCCTATTATAAGTGAGTATATACTAGTTGGGCAGTAACTACATTTTGTAATCTTATTTCAGTGAATTAATTAAATCATAATATTGATTTCTAGATTACATTTCCTTTTGAGGCTGTTTAAAACAGTGTCTAGTACCAGTGATGAAATAATGTGTAAGCAGTCACTACAATATTTTGGGGCTTTTTCAGTGAATAAATGACAGTCTAATGGAGATTTGTTAATATTAAAAACATTGGTAAGGGGTCCTATTCAAAAGGGGACCAAGAACAACTTATTCAATAATGTGCATATAGGCTCTATTATACAGTTGTGCTCAAACGTTTACATACCCTGGCAGAAATTGTGAAATTTTGGCATTGATATTGAAAATATGACTGATCATGCCAACAAATGCTTTTAATGAAGGATAATGATTATATGAAGCCATTTCTTATCAAATAGTTGTTTGGCTCCTTTTTAAATCATAATGATAACAGAAATTACCCAAATGGCCCGGATCAAAAGTTTACATACCCTGGAATGTTTGGCCTTGGTACAGACACACAAGGTCACACGCACGGGTTAAAATGCCAATTAGAGGTTAATGTCCCACATCTGTGGCTTTTTAAATTGCAATTAGTGTTAGTGTGTAAATAGTCAATGAGTTTGTTAGCTCTTATGTGGAAGCACTGACTAGGCTAGATACTGAGCCTTGGGGATCAGAAAAGAACTGTCAAAAGTCCTGCGTAACAAGGTAATGGAACTTTTTTAAAGATAGAAAAGGACATAAAAAAAAGTCCAAAGCCTTGAACATGCCAATCAGTACTGTTAAATCACCTATTAAGAAGTGGAAAGTTTGGGGATTTCTTGATACCAAGCCAAGGTCAGGTAGACGAAGAAAGATTGCAGCCATAACTGACAGAAGAATTGTCCAGGATTGAAAGAAAAATCCACAGGCAACCTCAAAAGAAATACAGAAGATACAGAATATAGAAGTTGTTAAGAATTGTTTCTTCCCCCAAGCAATCACACTCATGAACATCTGAATCTTCACATGCACAATTGTTATTTTGCACTGTGCAACTTCAGTTTCTAGATACTTACAGATCTCACAGTGAGACGCTGTCTGTTTGCCTGGCACTGCCATACAGTATGTATAGGGAAATCTGAGTGCAACTAAGACGTGCATATTGTGTTGTTTTAATGTGTGCGTATGTGGATGTGTGTGTATTCTGTAGGTTTTCTTTATATTTCTGAAAAAGGTAATTTATTTTGAACAGACACTGTTCTTAGCCATAATACATTGTATAGTGCCTGTCCAAAATATTTGAGCACCTGAGACCACATATATGTTAGATAATCAGTTTATGTGAAATCCCCACATAAATAATATTGTAATTATAAGTATAATGTAGTTAGATGGGCAGTTTTACCCCCTTCCTGACCAGGCCAATTTTCAGCTTCAGCACTCTCACACTTTGAATAAAAATTGTGCGATCATGAAATACTATACCCATATGAAAGTTTTATCATTTTTTTAGACAAATAGAGCTTTCTTTTGGTGGTATTTAATCACCACTGGATTTTTTATTTTTACTGAACAAACGAAAAAAATTAAAAGTTTTTTTTTTTAGTTTCTGTTATAAAATGTTGCAAATAAGTAATTTTTCTTCTTCATTGATGTGTGCTGATGAGCCTGTCCTGATGGGCACTGATAGGCTGCAGTAATGAGCACTGATGAGGTGGCACTCATGAGCACTGATAGGCTGCACTGGTGGGCACTGATGAGATGGCTCTCATGGGCTCTGATGAGTGGGAACTGGTAGACTGCACTGATGGGCACTGATTGGCACTGATGGGGCTGCACTGACAATCAGGGCACGGATGATCAGTGCCCTTATTATCAGTAAAAACTATGTCCTGACATGCATGCCAGTTAATGTCTCTCCTTTCCTCCCACAGACACAGCGTAGGAGGAAAGGAATAGTGATAACCAGCAAGTCTGTTTACATGTGATCTGTCAGGGCTCCCAGGTGTGACCAGAGGGTGTGTGACTGACGCAGGGAAACGCAGACCTCAGATATGTTATAAACAATATAATTTATTAAAACTAACAATACAAACATAAACACAGTGCAATACTAAACATAATACAGTGCAAACAAACCAAAACCAACCACCCAAAGATAACAGTACATACAAGCAAGCGTCGTCAGGCAGGCCGGGTCAATATCAATAGGGCAGGTAGGTACAGGGGGAGCAAGCGGAGATTGGTCAGGGTCACAAGCCAGGGATCAGAACAGGTAGCAAGCAGCGTGGTACAGAGGGTCAGACAGAGGGATGGTCAGGAGCGAGCTGGGATCAGAGCAGGAGAAGTCAGCAGCGGTTCAGAAACAGGATGCAGGACAGAAACAGGATGCAGGACAGAAACAGGAGGCAGGGCCAGGACAAACACACACCAAGGCAGAGTCTGTGGGTCTGGCCATCCCTTAAATACCCCAGCATAATCAGTTACAGGTGTTAGCTGGCTGCAAAGTTGAGTCTCTGATTGCTGGGAACACCCGCTGGCCAGCCCTGGTACTGCAGATCAAAAGGCAGGTGAGTCCCACCATAGCTGGCCAGTCCATTCCTGACAGTACCCCCCCTCAAGGAGCGGCCTCAGGACGCTCCAAACAGTCCTAGCTGGGAAAAATGTTCCACCGCCCGGGTCTGGTAACTGGCGGGATATCAAAGACTGGCACACCGGGCAGGACTCCGGGCAGCGGTACACCGGGCAGAGGCACATCGGGATGGACTCCGGGCAGAGGCACATCGGGCTGGACTCCGGGCAGAGGCACATCGGGCTGGACTCCGGGCAGAGGCACATCGGGCTGGACTCCGGGCAGAGGCACATCGGGCTGGACTCCGGGCAGAGGCACATCGGGCTGGACTCCGGGCAGAGGCACATCGGGCAGGACTCCGGGGCAGAGGCACATCGGGCAGGACTCCGGGCAGAGGCACATCGGGCAGGACTCTGGGCAGAGGCACATCGGGCAGGACTCTGGGCAGAGGCACATCGGGCAGGACTCTGGGCAGAGGCACATCGGGCAGGACTCTGGGCAGAGGCACATCGGGCAGGACTCCGGGCAGAGGCACATCGGGCTACCAGGCGAAGCAGCAGGCAGCGGGCCACCAGGCGGAGCGGCAGGCACCGGGCCCCCGGGCGGGGCGACAGGCACCGGGCCCCCGGGCGGGGCGACAGGCACCGGGCCCCCGGGCGGGGCAACAGGCACCGGGCCCCCGGGCGGGGCGACAGGCCTCGGGCCCCCAGGCGGAGCGGCGGGCGCCGGACCCCCAGGCGGAACTACAGGTCTCGGGCCCTCAGGCGAGCGGCGGGCGCCGGGCCCCCCAGATGGAGCGACAGGCCTCGGGCCCCCAGGCGGGGCGACAGGCATCGGACCCCCAGGCGGAGCGGCGGGCGCCGGACCCCCAGGCGGAACTACAGGTCTCGGGCCCTCAGGCGGAGCGGCGGGCGCCGGACCCCCAGATGGAGCGACAGGCCTCGGGCCCCCAGGCGGGGCGACAGGCATCGGACCCCCAGGCGGGGCGACAGGCATCGGACCCCCAGGCGGAGCGGCGGGCGCCGGACCCCCAGGCGGAGCGGCGGGCGCCGGACCCCCAGGCGGAACTACAGGTCTCAGGCCCTCAGGCGGAGCGGCGGGCGCCGGACCCCCAGATGGAGCGACAGGTCTCGGGCCCTCAGGCGGAGCGACAGGCATCGAACCCCCAGGCGGGGCGACAGGCATCGGACCCCCAGGCGGGGCGACAGGCATCGGACCCCCAGGCGGGGCGACAGGCATCGGACCCCCAGGCGGGGCGACAGGCATCGGACCCCCAGGCGGGGCGACAGGCATCGGGCCCCCAGGCGCAGCGGCAGGCGCCGGACCCCCAGGCGGAGCTACAGCTCTCGGGCCCTCAGGCGGAGCGGCGGGCGCCGGACCCCAGATGGAGCGACAGGTCTCGGGCCCTCAGGCGGAGCAACAGGTCTCGGGCCCCCAGATGAAGCGGCGGGCACCGAGTCACCAGGCACGAAAGTGGGCACCGAGTCGTCTGGCAAGACTGCGGGCACCGAGTCAACTGGCGGAACAGCGGGCATCGAGTCAACTGGCGGAACAGCGGGTACCGAGTCGTCTGGCAAGACTGCGGGCACCGAGTCGTCTGGCAAGACTGCGGGCACCGAGTCGTCTGGCAAGACTGCGGGCACCGAGTCGTCTGGCAAGACTGCAGGCACCGAGTCGTCTGGCAAGACTGCGGGCACCGAGTCGTCTGGCAAGACTGCGGGCACCGAGTCGTCTGGCAAGACTGCGGGCACCGAGTCGACTGGCGGAACAGCGGGCACCGAGTCGTCTGGCAAGACTGCGGGCACCGAGTCAACTGGCGGAACAGCGGGCACTGAGTCGTCTGGCAAGACTGCGGGCACCGAGTCGTCTGGCAAGACTGCGGGCATCGAGTCAACTGGCGGGACTGCGGGCACCGAGTCGTCTGGCAAGGCTGCAGGCACCGAGTCGTCTGGCAAGACTGCGGGCACCGAGTCGTCTGGCAAGACTGCGGGCACCGAGTCGTCTGGCAAGACTGCGGGCACCGAGTCGTCTGGCAAGACTGCGGGCACCGAGTCAACTGGCGGAACAGCAGGCATCGAGTCAACTGCGGAACAGCAGGCACCGAGTCGTCTGGCAAGACTGCGGGCACCGAGTCAACTGGCGGAACAGCGGGCATCGAGTCAACTGGCGGAACAGCGGGCATCGAGTCAACTGGCGGAACAGCAGGCACCGAGTCGTCTGGCAAGACTGCGGGCACCGAGAGTCGTCTGGCAAGACTGCGGGCACCGAGTCGTCTGCAAGACTGCGGGCACCGAGTCGTCTGGCAAGACTGCGGGCACCGAGTCGTCTGGCAAGACTGCGGCACCGAGTCGTCTGGCAAGACTGTGGGCACCGAGTCGACTGGCGGAACAGCGGGCACCGAGTCGTCTGGCAAGACTGCGGGCACCGAGCCAACTGGCGGAACAGCAGGCTTCGAGTCGTCTGGCAAGACTGCGGGCACCGAGTCAACTGGCGGAACAGCGGGCACCGAGTCGTCTGGCAAGGCTGCGGGCACCGAGTCGTCTGGCAAGACTGCGGGCACCGAGTCGTCTGGCAAGACTGCGGGCACCGAGTCGTCTGGCAAGACTGCGGGCACCGAGTCGTCTGGCAAGACTGCGGGCACCGAGTCAACTGGCGGAACAGCAGGCATCGAGTCAACTGGCGGAACAGCAGCACCGAGTCGTCTGGCAAGACTGCGGGCACCGAGTCAACTGGCGGAACAGCGGGCATCGAGTCAACTGGCAGAACAGCGGGCATCGAGTCAACTGGCGGAACAGCAGGCACCGAGTCGTCTGGCAAGACTGCGGCACCGAGTCGTCTGGCAAGACTGCGGGCACCGAGTCCCAGTCTGCAAGACTGCGGGCACCGAGTCGTCTGGCAAGACTGCGGGCACCGAGTCATCTGGCAAGACTGCGGGCACCGAGTCGTCTGGCAAGACTGCAGGCACCGAGTCGTCTGGCAAGACTGTGGGCACCGAGTCGACTGGCGGAACAGCGGGCACCGAGCCAACTGGCGGAACAGCAGGCTTCGAGTCGTCTGGCGAGACTGAGGGCACCGAGTCGTCTTGTCCTTCAGAGTCTGATAAGCATACTCTTGTCATCAACACTAGCAGAGATAAATACTAATACCTCTCCAGATCCATCCTTTCCATCAACAATGCCAAAAGATGGCTTCCATGTAGCAGCACTTGGTCAGGATTGGCCTTGGTGTTATGTGTCAGGGGCTCCCAGGTGTGAACAGAGGTGGTTGGTGACTGACGCAGGGAATCGCCAGACTCTAGGATATGTTATATACAACATTATAATTTATTAACTACTAACCAATACTAAACATATAAAACTCAGTGCAATACTAAACATAATACTGTGCAAATCATACCAAACCAAACCACATGATAACAGTTCATACAAAGCAAGTCGTCGTTCAGGCTGGCCGGGTCAATATACAATTGGGCAGGTAGGTACAGGGGGAGGCAGAAGCGGAGACTTTGGTAGGGTCACAAGCCAGGGGATCAGAAACAGGTAGCAAGCAGCAGTGGTACAGAGGGTCAAGAACAGAGGGATGGTAAGGAGCGAGAGGGAATCAGAGCAGGAGAAGTCAGCAGCGGGTTAAGAGGGATGGTCAGGGCGAGCCGGGATTAGAGCAGGACAAGTCAAGCAGCGGATTCCAGAAACATGGATGCAGGACAGATACAGGATGCAGGGACAGATACAGGTTGCAGGGCCCAGGATCACAACACACACCTAGGCAGAGTCTGCTGGGTCTGGACATCCCTTAAATACCCCAGCATAAATCAGTTACAGGTGTTAAAGCAGGCTGCAAAGTTGAGTCTTATGATTTGCTGGGAACACCCGCTGGCCAGCCCTGGTAAATGCAGATCAAAAGGAAGGTGAGTCTCCCATCATAGCTGGCCAGTCCATTCCTGACATGAATCAGCTGATGATGGACCACAGCTGACCCATTGGTATAGGGACTGTTGTAATTGACCATGTACCGAATCTTGTTATGTGCTGTGTCCAAGGACAAAGCAGTCACTGTGTGGCCTTGATTGAACAATAGAGGAGGCGTGCAGGGTGCAGGGGTCTGGAGAGGGACATCTATTGATGCCTCCCAGAACTGGATGCTTGCTCTGTAGCCCAGATCTGGATGGACTACTATGTAGCCCCCGTTCTTTTGGCTGACTGCGCTGTCGGCAGAGTGGTTAAATAATTTTGAGTGCAAAAGGAGGCATGGGCGAGTTTTTTGAAGTTGTAATTTTTTTGCCTTTTTTGGGGGGAAAATAATATGAAAAATAAAAATTACACAATTTTTTAAATTTTTTTAATACTTTTTAACTTTTTTTTTAAACTACTTCTTTTTTTATATATAACACATTGTGTCCAGGAGTAATATAATGTTTTCCATAATATACATTGTACCTCTCTGCGGCCTGTGTTACAGTATTTCTTTTTTCACATTATGATTGCACATAGCAGTGATTAGCTGTGTTTGGTCACAGCTAATCACATGACACAGGTGGGCTATCATTAGTCCTAAATCTGTACCATATGTGATTACTGTGACCAATCACACGCTTGCAAACAATTGTATACAATGGATGACATGGAAAGGATGCCATGGATGACATGGAAAGGAAAAAGCCATCCATTGTTTACAATTGTATATGGCCTTGCTGTGGATGGTCACAATGGTCACAATGGTACAGTCTATCGTGCAGGTAAACAGAACTGTTCCCAATCGGAATGCTGCCAGTGACTGATCTTGCCACAGCGCTGCTCCTGTGGGTGTGTGCAGATGGTGGAGATCTGGGTCAAAAGTCAATTGGACGCCCCACCTGAATCGAACATATAGTCCCGCTCCTCCATCAATATTTGCTATTGTACTGGGCTGGAAACTGGTTATATTCCTTCAATCTGGCTGTGCTCGTTATACAATTTGCTAGGTACTGTGACCAATTATAGTAACATTTTATTAGACCCCATACAGAAATGTTGAGATTAATATCAATTAATTTTTACCAAGGCTGTGGGACTCTCTTTTGTTCTTGGGACACATCTGCAATCAGTATGTCAAGAACCTCCATGTTGAGTGGTATAAGTATACTTCTTTCTTGTATTGGTACATTGTATAGTTAATTTGGTTTTTGTGTGTTATTTTTACTGTAATTAGAATATAAGCCAGGGGAGACTTATCATGTACATTGTATTGATAATTACTGTTTTCAGTCTTGCAATTTGGTATATATTTATTATGTTGCCATATCAATTAATGTATAATTGCCAGATGGAACTACCTCTTTTTGTGTAAGAAATCTCTAAGATCTTGCTTGCGGTGTGTTATATCATATTTTATTATATACTCCTATTAGTGTTTGGAGTGTGTATGTCATATATACTCGTTATACCTAGTGTCCGAACTATACAATACTGTACAACTGCTGTTTATTATATAAATAAAATTGGTACTCTTTAATCAGGACATGCACTCTCTTTTTACATGATTACTTAGGAAGTGCTTATTTGTTTTAGGCAATACTAATATTCGATACTAATGGGACTCAGTTAGTCATTTGTACAAAAGTGATCTGTTTGGCTAGTGTTGGTCTGAAACAAAATTATTTTATAACTAAGAATTTTGTTTTTTACTCACATGGGCAAACTCATAGTTTTCGGTTTGGGAGAGTCCTTTATACTGTTTTAATTTAAAAATATATTATAAAGGAATATCCAGAAAATGTCATAAAAGCACATTTTGTGCAAATTAAATTTGTTAAAAAACTAAATAACTTTTTTTTTTTTATTTGTTTTTCCACTACAATGGTGTTTCCTTGGTATATTATTATTTGGGTGTTCTAGTTCAGTGGCATTTTCCTCTGTA